TCTCTTCATTCTCTTTTAACAGTCCTTTTGTTTTTAAATCATCAAATTTTATCCGATTTAATATCCAAGGTGTGGCTTAGGAGCCAAATAGCTCTCTATAGTGCAAGTGAGCAAATCAGCTTTAGAAGTTGGCAACACCAGTCTTTTACCGAGTGAAATAGCAAGGTGAGATTATCAAGTAATTTAACTTTATCGACAAGTTTAGATTCGAACAGTTTATTAACGTTTTGCACTTCCATTAGAATAGGTTATAAAAAGCGAATTAATGACACATTTTTTTCATCACTGTACATTCCATATAGTATTTCAGCTGTATAGCACTTTTCACTTTGTCTTGTTATTTCAAAGTGTCTTCAGCTTCAGCCATTGCTTCATAATTCTTTCAACAGCTGGTTAAATTGATAACCATCTAGTTTTGCAATCTGACAGAATTTTCGGTGGTGTGGAACCATCATTCAAGGCTGTATATAATGTATTGTATTGCTGTTGTCTGACAAATGATTTGGAAAACCAGTAAAGTGTTTCAGCAATAAGGTATTCCAAATTCCTTGGTAAATATTTAGATGAAGCATGTGATAATGCTAGCTGCAATGAATGACGCCTACATTTTATAGGTATTAATGATGGGTTAGCTTCCTTCAACTTGGCAAAAACGTCATTGTTTATACCAACCATCACTGAGGCATTATCAGTACCAATTACAGCCAAATTCTTCAAGCCTGTTTTCTGATTAAAAGGTCCTTCAGTTCCTAAACTATACTTTCTACACCACACTTTTCAAATTGAACTAGTCCAAGATTTTTTACAAATCGATCAATTGGTCACAGTTTGAGATTGCGCAGTGACAAATTAAAAACATTGCGACTGATGCTTCAACTTTTGATGATTCATTTATCAGTATAGTTCTGAAAACAGATGTCAGCGGTGTAATATCTTTTCTCTGCATGACTCTTTGAGTTTTGTATTTTCGCTTTAATTTCACACTTGCAGTACATACAACAAGCTTTGGTCACATCCCCAGTTTTTAATTTTGTCATCATGCAACCACTCTTTCTAAATTTTTGCTCATACTTAACTTTTGGCGTGTTGAAAATTTTTTTCAAAGTGAAAGCCACATAAGAAGGTGAGCAATTATTTTTTTTTTAAATCACATGAAAAAGAAACGCAAAGTCAGCACAGTGAGGATACAAAGTTAGTATGATTTACGCTAGTTTTTATTAATCAATACTGGGGCTGCCAGATATTTGTGCGTTGATCCCAGTGAGAGTTCAAAGTTCAAGTAATGGCAGTTGTCACAATGTACGTGCCAGATCAAAACAAAAAAATTGTAGTAAATATTTTACACAGTAATTATTAAATTGACAATGAAAGGGAAAAAAAAAGCTATAAAATATCTAACTTCATAAGAAAAGAATCTAGAAAAATATTTACGATCTAAAAGTCAAAAACAGTTAGTTAGTTAGTTAGTTATTCCTCTTGTGCCAAAGATGGCGCATAGGGCAGAGGTCATAGCTTTCCACGTCTGTCGGTTCTTTGCCACTTGATGTAGGTCTTGAGTGCGACTGAGACCTATGGTTGAGCTCTCCCTTGTGATGGTTCTACGGAGAGTTTCTTTTGGTCTTCCCTGTTTTCTTCTACCCTCTGGTGACCATATGAAGGCTTGGTGGGGAAGTCTCTGTATGTCCATTCCGAGTACGTGACCGATGTAATTCCAGCGACGCTTTCTAATAAAATCAGACACATATTTTTGTTTTGTTTCCTGTCTTATAGATGTATTGGACCTAAAGTCCGACCAGTGAACATTCAATAGCTTTCGGAGGCATCTATTCTCGAAAGCGACTAGTTTCTTATCGATTGATACTGATGATTTCCAACTCTCACAACCATAAGTTAGCACTGGGATCAAAAACAGTATCTAAATGCAATGAAAAAGATCTAAATTTGGATATAAAAGATCCAAAGTGGCAACACTGTATTTCCCGTGCTCGTTCAGCACCGGTGTTCTGTCGTGCAGACCCACCCCTGTGAAACAAGTACCTACCGTCTCCCTGATCATGGAGACAATGGTGCATCTATCGGAGCCTCCGTTGCTAACGCCGAAAAATGAAACATGGAGGAATGCAGACATCTTGATTTGGCATGGGACCGAGATAGCAAATACCATTTTGCTGATGGCTGTCGGCATCATTGGCAACAGCCTGGTGCTTCATATCTACATTTTCAGGCTACCTAGCTCAACTGTTAACTTAATCAAAAGCGTAAGTCAGATAATTGTCATTTTAGCCCGTTAAATCATTCAGTCCCTAAGTTCTCCGCGATCACTTCTTTCCCAGTGAAACCCGCAGCGTGAGGAGGCTAACGACACCAGATCACGAGATCAAAAGTCTAAGGCTCACTAGAATGTTTGTCTCTTCAAGTTCAGACGAATGGCGCTGCGGAAAGATACCAGGGGAACTGGCTGAACTCAGCACTAAGGGGAAGGAGAAGACTGATATTCAGTCAGACGGTTACCGTACCATCGGAATTGAAACTCTTCGATTGCTGCTAAAGATGGGGGACTGAGCACCTATGCGAGTGTCCAGAGTGCTGTGATGTAAATTTTTAATTTAACATTTAATATTTAAGATTCTTTACAGGTTCGATCTATAGAAATGTGGAATTTTTATCTCGTAAATAGCAATCATGGCCGTGGCAAAGTCATAAGAATAGCTGCAAACTCAGGAGTTGACCAATGCGTGCTTGCTCAGCGACTCAGTAAACATGATGTAGAATCAGGAGTTGACCAATGTGTGCTTGCTCAGCGACTCAGTAAACATGATGTAGAATCAGGAGTTGACAATGCGTGCCTGCTCAGCTACTCAGTAAACATGATGTAGAATCAGGAGTTGACCAATGCGTGCCTGCTCAGCGACTCAGTAAACATGATGTAGAATCAGGAGTTGACCAATGCGTGCTTGCTAAGCGACTCAGTAAACATGATGTAGAATCAGGAGTTGACCAATGCGTGCTTGCTCAGCGACTCAGTAAACATGATGTAGAATCAGGAGTTGACCAATGCGTGCTTGCTCAGAGACTCAATGATCATGATGTAGAATCAGGAGTTGACCAATGCGTGCTTGCTCAGCGACTCAGTAAACATGATGTAGAATCAGGAGTTGACCAATGCGTGCTTGCTCAGCGACTCAGTAAACATGATGTAGAATCAGGAGTTGACCAATGCGTGCTTGCTCAGCGACTCAGTAAACATGATGTAGAATCAGGAGTTGACCAATGCGTGCTTGCTCAGCGACTCAGTAAACATGATGTAGAATCAGGAGTTGACCAATGCGTGCCTGCTCAGCTACTCAGTAAACATGATGTAGAATCAGGAGTTGACCAATGCGTGCCTGCTCAGCGACTCAGTAAACATGATGTAGAATCAGGAGTTGACCAATGCGTGCTTGCTCAGCGACTCAGTAAACATGATGTAGAATCAGGAGTTGACCAATGCGTGCTTGCTCAGCGACTCAGTAAACATGATGTAGAATCAGGAGTTGACCAATGCGTGCTTGCTCAGCGACTCAGTAAACATGATGTAGAATCAGGAGTTGACCAATGCGTGCTTGCTCAGCGACTCAATGATCATGATGTAGAATCAGGAGTTGACCAATGCGTGCTTGCTCAGCGACTCAGTAAACATGATATAGAATCAGGAGTTGACCAATGCGTGTTTGCTCAGCGACTCAATGATCATGATGTAGAATCAGGAGTTGACCAATGTGTGCTTGCTCAGCGACTCAGTAAACATGATGTAGAATCAGGAGTTGACCAATGCGTGCTTGCTCAGCGACTCAGTAAACATGATGTAGAATCAGGAGTTGACCAATGCGTGCTTGCTCAGCGACTCAATGATCATGATGTAGAAGACCAAAATGATCATGACAGGAACAATCAACAATTTTAAGGAAGATAGATACAGTGTGGGGGTCTTGCAATATACTCAAGGGGGTGTGGAGGCTCGCCATATACTCCTGAAGGGGCCGGGGGTTGAGCCATATACTCAAAGTGGGCCCGGAAAGGGGGAGTGGGTCATCTGCTCACAGTAGGCGTGGAGAACAAGGAGATGGATGTTGCCATATACTCAGTGTGGACGTGCAGATGGAGCCCTGTCATATAGTCAGATTTGACTTGTGGGGGGGGGGGTGTATTGCCATACACTCAAAGGGGCACAGCCTGAAAAATGTTGGAAACCACTGTACTAGACAGTTTGACATCATAGTATGGAATACCATTTGTGTCGGAACTGACTAAAAGTTCATGAGCAGAAAATGTATAGACAGACATGATTTCCAAAGCCACATAGCGTAGACTACAAACAGAATTGCTATCTATTGCTGTTCTCATTTGCTATTTAGGCTTATGTTTATGATTCTTTTTATGATTCTGTTTACTGGTTTGCATATAGTTTTTATTGCGATTCTTTTGCAAGATTATCATTATGATTCTTTTTATTATTCTGTGTATGTTTCTATTGTGTTGATGGCTAAGTTTATTATGCTATATATATATATATATATATATATATATATATATATATATATATATATATATATATATATATATTTATATATATATGTATGTATGTATGTATATATGATTCTGTTGTTACTCTCATGTTGATTCTAATTAGGATTTTTTAAACAGTTAGTCATTATGATTATCTTTAAGATTTTATTTGGTTTTCTGATTATTATTCTGTGTATGACTGTTTAGGACTTTGTTTAGGACTGTTTAGGACTCTGTTTAGGACTCTGTTTTTGACTGTTTAGGACTCTGTTTAGGACTCTCATTAGGATTCTGTTTAGGACTCTGTTTAGGACTCTGTTTTTGACTGTTTAGGACTCTGTTTAGGACTCTGTTTTGGCTGTGTAGGACTCTGTTCATGACTGTTTATGACTGTTTAGGACTCTGTTTAGGACTCTGTTTTTGACTGTTTAGGACTCTGTGTCTTCTCTTCTCAGACGTTGGCGGTTCTTGACCTCAGCGCTGTCGTTGCCAAGACGCTCCTCCTCTACATGATAGTGAACCCCAACAGCCACTTCTACAACAGCATTTGTGTCTTTGCGGCTTTCTTTACCATCTGCAACACTACGTGTGCCGACCTGGTCCTCATCGTGATCGCCGTCGACAG